CCTAAGCCCTCCGTCAGCTCTCTCCTCACATGGACGGTTGTCAAAATTATGGTCGCTGTTTGGGTCCTTTTTATAGTACTGCACTGCTTTCAGGGTGCCCAAAAAGGGGCCATGATTTTGACAACTACCCAAATGTAAAAAACGCCTGAGCCGAAGGGCTGGGCTTCATGATGGAAAGCCAGCGACTACCCGAAGAACTTGCGTCCCTAACCCTGAATCTCAACTTAAACCTACCACACCCTACTTGTTTGTAAAGTCCTGTATGGATTTTCGCCCGATCCAAGATACTTTCCCAATATGCACCCTCCTGCCGACGTGAAACGTAGTTGAGTTTATTATGGCAACTTAACCCTGAAACCCTAAACCCCATATAGTTACTTAGGCCCTGAACCCTATGGCAACTTATACCTGAAGCCCTACAAACCCAACTTAAAACCCTAAGCCCTACTATGGCAACTTAACCCTAAAACCCTAAGCCCTATTATAGTAACTTAAAACCCTAAACTCTATACTATGGCAACTTAAACCTGAAACCTTAAACCCTATTTATTTGCTTATGACCGCCCAGAAGAGGCCTCTTCGCGGCGGACAAAGCCTTCTTCATGAAGCTCGGAGGCGGACGTGGGAAGAAGTCTGCGGGGGGTGCACATTAAATATATATAAAAAACTCTGAGTTTTTTGTAGTGTCCCTAATACATTAGGGTGTATAGTAAGAGGCTCCATAGTAGTTCCTTTTGGGGATTACCTTATAGGATTCTAGATATGAGCCCCAAAAAGGAACTACTATGGAGCCTTAGGTAGTAAGAGCCTACAACAGGAAGTCTGAGGGTGCAGGGTCACGGCTTACGTTGGGGTGTCAAGGGCTTGGGGACGATTTTGGACGAGTAAGAGGTTTACCGGGTTACCGGTTAGCCGGTTCCATACATTGCCATCCATATATCTATATCTATATCTATATCTATATATATATATATATATATATATATATATTTTTTTAAAAAAAATCATATTGTATATATATATATATATATGTATGTATATGTAATCATGTCTATATATGATGTTGAGAAGTTTCAGAAGTGCTATTCCTTTGATTCTCCTAAAAAACTTTGGCAGTATTCTGGACCATGTGTCAGTTACAGTAGACACAAGTCTGCAGCATCGAGCACGTTGGCTGTCTGTTTTGCTCAAGATTACCTTGAGGGTCCACAGGACGAATTTGGTACTCGGTTTTAGGATAGCATCTGTGTAGCGTAGTGTTTGGGAGATTAGAGGTACTTGGATTCTTAGAGTTTGGGAATCAAGAGAGACATCTCTGAAGAAGTCCTGCAGATTCGCTTCGCGATGTATTTGCTCGCAGCATTTTGCCTGTTTGTTGTTTCCAGAGGCCAGATCAGTGCAGGGGTATATTCCTATCACACCTCTGTCTCTGGCCTTCTAGACATCGGAGTGCAGATTGAGCTTGTGAATGCTGCGTTGGGAAACGATGCTAACTACACCAAGGCTACACAGGGCTACGAGGCGGAGGTCAGTTCTGGGTTGTCCCTACGCGACATCCTGACCTGCGACCAGTCTCGGCTACCTGCATGTTCCACTGAGCCCTTCTCAACACATGCCTCGTATTGGTTTTCGCGGGACTACATGCATGCGTTTGTGGGGCCTATCTTGGCCGATGCGGCGGCACATAGCTGGACCTTGGACGATCTGGCACGGAAAGAGCTGATAATGAAGAGTGTGGTTTTGGAAGGTGTGCTAATGGCAGTGCAAAGCCGTGTTCAGGCCAGTGCGGAGACCTGCTCGAAGACACAGCAGGCACTGACCTCCTTGGATGAGGCATGGGCGCTTTACTCTGGCTCCTTATCGTCTGGTCCCATTCGTCTGGCTGAGAAGCGTGCGCCTCAGTTCATGACAGAAGCAGATGTGAACCTCGACCACTCCGCTGGACAGAGCCGCGTGAATGTGGAGCTGCTTCAGAGCTTTAAGATGATGCAGGGCATGCTTCAGAACGGAGACTGCTCTACCCTAAGTGGGCCTGGTGGTATCGCAGGTAGAATCATTTCATTGATGCGTGTGCCGGTTATCCAGGGCATGCTTCGGGAAGCATATGAATCAGATCCTGCCAAGAGGAGTGAAACCGGAGGCGCTGATGGTTTCATAGAGGTTGTTGAGGGCTGGGCCTTCACGCGAGCAGTCCTTCCTGCCATCAGTGCGTGCAATGCATCTGCTGCCGAGACATTAGTGCGAAATATGGGCAACATTGGTCTGGGTCCTCTAGGTGCACATGTACCTGATGGATTCGACGCAGTCCTGCATGCAGTGGAGTCCACCTATGCCTGCTTGGGTATCCAGTGCCGTGATGTCAACGCCATGGCAGACCCCTGGCGAACAAGTCACTTTGCCATAGTTGGGTAACATTTTACATTTTTATGGGTACTTAAACCCAATAAGGAACAAAGATTTGAATTTTTAATCCTATCCCATCCATGAATTAGGTCAGACTCTGTGGCAACCGTGTGTGGATCCGACAACAACTACGACTACGACTGGTTCTGTAGAAACCAGTGCCTCGCGCGAAATCCTACCGGTGCCCACACGGCTGTGGGTTTCCTCTTTCTCCTTATTGTGTATACTACGACCATTGCAATAATGCAGCTGCAATGACTGCAACCTCCTGCAGCGAAACCTCCGAAGGTCTGCAAGAAGAGGAGGCTATGACTGGTAAGTGCTTGACGAGCAAAAGCCTTGAAGACTTGCTGATTCAGACAGAAGCCGCCTGGAAGAGGTCCAAACAAATCTTGCTAGGTCTTAACTGATCTACGAAGACACGCCAGCCCCTAAAGCAGCGAGCGTGCTGCATCCTACGAACGACCATAAGGTGCTCCGACTGCAAAGGTCATTCTCAAACCCCCGAGCTGTGTTGCGCAGCCTCAATGAATGAGTTCAGTAGTACTGGCGCTGCCTGTTCGATTGTGACGCGCTGGATCACTCTTGCCCCGGACTTGCAGGCTACGATCCCGAGATGAAGTTCTATGGCGGGGAGGACTTCTTTCGACGTGTATAGCGATCTGTTGCCTTGGGTTTTGTGGGTTCTCTGGTGTAGGGAGCTCAAGGGTCCATGATGGTTATTTGTCTGTATCTGTCGCAACGCTGTCAAACCTCGACCTACTATTGCCGGTCCCTGCATAATGGCAGGATATGCTCGTTTAAGCGAGATTTCTGGGTTGGCAAATGGAATTGAACTCATGCCGGCAAGCCCTCCTAGACGATGTGAAAAGCAGCTTGTGCGATGCTTCTACTCTGCAAGTCTAGGGCTTGGGTTTTGGGGGCGCATTTTAGCTTTTGCATAGGCCTGTCTAGGCTTTCAGATTCCTCATCGTGTCCTGGAGCTCCCGGATGTACCTGTGCTTGTCAGTGCTGCCAAACCGCAATGCCCCATGCCTGAAACTTTCAACCGAAGTCCCTGATCCCCGCGGCCCTAAACCCTATAAGCCCTTTTGCAGGAAATGGAAATTGGATTTCGCACTTGGCAGCGGGGAGCCCGATTCCACAGAGCCAAGCCAGAGAATGCCAGAGATGTGGTCTTTCGGTTCAACGCCTCAATTTGGGGTTCAGGGTTTAGGGTTTTGGTGTCCGTAGCCTGATTCTTTTCGGGCTTATCCCCGTTATAGCAATTTCTCCATGATTCCAATCCACCCATTTAGCTTAGTCTTTGTGCGCTTCTTGGCCGCGGGTCATCTGTCCATTGATGACAGGGTTCTTCAGGCAACAAGCTTGAATGAACTTGCTATGGACTCTTGCAATCGTGTTGAGAGTTCCAAGCCCTTCTTGACGGCCTTCCTTTCAAAATGCCTCGGCGCCGAATGCGCTGATCCTGATCTTCTAAATTTTCTAAATCATTGAAACTCTACCTAAACCCCCCAAAGTAGGTAAAATAATGGCCCAAAACCTTATAAAAGGCTATTATTCTACATACTTTTGTGGTCCAGGTAATCGAAGCACGCACAGGACACCCGCTCATCTAGGAGAGTCATTGGTTGCTAAGCCTGAGAAAAGCGTAGATATACTTGTTTTGTAGGGGTCCGTGTCACTGCTGTTGCTGCTACCCATAGGCCCCACAGTAGTTCCTTTCTGGGGATTACCTTATAGAATTCCAAAGAACGAACCCCAAAAAGGAGCTACTATGGGGCTTATGGGTATGTTAGGGTTTCTATCAGGACTAGGTTCTCCCGTAGTTTCTGGCACAGCTGAAGCCTCCAACGGCAGCCCAAGATTGCTTGACCATCGCTTTCGCCGGCACTGCTGTTTCTTTCCTCAAATTCAGGGCTTAGCCCAGACAACGTGCAGACGCCCATAGGGGCGTATGGAGGCAATCGGGCTGCGGTAGGGCGGGGTGCGGGGTGCAGCATCATGAGGGTGCTGCATCATGATGCTGCTGCTGTGGCGTCGTCTGCTGCTGCTGCTGCTGCTGCTGCTGCTGCTGCTCGTTGTACAAACTGCTACTACTACTGCTACTACTACTACTACTACTACTAATACTAATACTGCTACTACCACCACCACTACTACACCACCACCGCCACGACGACGACTACTGCTGCTACTACTACTACTACTGCTACTACTACTGCTGCTACTACTGCTACTACCACTACTACTGCTACTACTACTACCACTCTACTCCGACTCCTACTCCTACTCCTCCTGCTCCTGCTCCTGCTACTGCTACTTCTACTGCTACTGCAGCTGCTACTTCTGCTGCTACTTCTGCTGCTACTTCTGCTGCTACTTCCGCTGCTGCTGCTGCTGCACTGATGCTGCCACCGTCCCGGACCGTCCCGCTACGGCTACGGCTACAGCCGTTGCTCCTAACGCTGCGGCTGCTGCAGCCTCTGCTGTTGCTATTCCACCCCACGCCGAAGCCTTCAAGCCGATAGCCCCCCGATGATCCGACGCGAACACCGCTCTCTCACAGAGTGTCCCCTTCCAGGCGCAGAGGAAAGATGGGCCAAGGCATCTCAGCACGTCGGCGGCAGCCCGGGGGGGACGGTATGGGTTTATGAAGTTTCGAGCTTGCAGTGAGGCTTGAGGATTGCCGTTTAGCTTGCAAGAGTAAGTAGAAGTTGATGCTACTGCTACTGATCAGCCAGTGACAAGACAGGTGATGGCGATGATGAAGATGATGGTTATGATTATGGTTATGATAATGACGATGATGATGATGATGGTGGTAGTTGTGATGATTGCAAAGTCCTGGTGCTGAATATGTTGAAGAAGAAGAACATGAATATGATGATGATGATGATGATGGTGATGGTAGTGGTGATGGTGATGGTAGTGATGATGATGATGATGATGATGGTGATGATGAGGATGATGGGAGTCTAGATGAGAAGCGAGTATCTTGTCCATTATGACACCACTGACGCTATCAAGGATGATAGGATCGTGATCGTGTTCTTGATGATGAGGACGATGCTGCTAATGTACACGTGCACCAGGTTTCTTTCGGAACAATGGGCTTCGGAGTTTAAACCATAGCGGTTCGGCATCTGTGACAGCTGTCGATTTGCAGCTGCTCCCTTGGTGTGTTCGGCTTCAAAACAAGATGTTGGGAAGGTCCACGAAGTTCTCAATTCCGTGAATTTCGTCTGCTAAGCTGGTCAGCCATTGATTGAATTTCAGCAACGCGCATGTGTAACCCGAGCTTGCTTCATCGCTGGAAGCCTTTCACGACGTTTGTGGCATGTTGAAGCCAAACCCCTAAACCCCTAAAACCCTGAACCCCTAAACCCCAAAACGCCTTCAAGCAGGGCATCGGGTTTGGGTGGTCTTGGCGATGTGACGATGCAGGGTTTCCGCTCTGATTGCCGAGGATGCTTTGTTTGGGGACCCGCCGCAGCTATGCCTCTCGCTACCAACTCTGTCAATTGCGGGGTGTTTCCTCCAGAGTTCTACATCCTACTTCTTGTAGATGGTTTACGTAAACCCCTAAAGCCCGAAACCGGACATCGTCAAGCCTTGAACCCAAACACTATAAGCTCAACACACACGTCTGGCACATAGGACCGTGAATTGAAGCCTGTGTGTAAATGGTTGCACGACTTTTGGGCTTTCAAAGAGAGAACGATGGCAGAGTTACGGATGACAACACCAAGGATGAACGATGACCTGCAAAAGGATCCCTAAGATACAGGCCTTGACAAGTATCTATGCATCATGAACAGCCGCTTTATGTAAGCTATCCTAGACATAGCCCCAAAGACTCAACTCACTCAACTTGAGGAAGGCAGTCCATAGCAGCACATGCCAAACTCGAGTCAGCTAGGCCCCCTGTAAATGGAGCAAACCACAATATCCCTGAACCGAAACCCTATGTACATCCCGACTAGACCCGAACAGCAAGCCCTGACTACGTCTGAAACCCTGAATGGCCTTAACTCAATCTGGCATGCCTCAGCCCTAAAGCTTGTAGAAGGAGTTGTCGAATTCGGAAGAGAATGACTCGGGTTGTCTAGGGCATGCTTGCTGCCTTGCCGAAACACAAGTTGCGGTTCGGGGTTTAGCGTCGATTACGACATGGTGAAGATGATGCTGACGATGATGATTGCTATTGTTGCTATTTAAGTACGCGGTAGCATGGTGATTTCACTGTTTCGTTTTTTGTTGGCCACTCCGACTAAAGGCTTGAAGGGGCGGGAGGGTTGTTGCACCCGCCTTCTTACTATCGAATTCCTACACCCCAAACTTTAGAAGCCAGAAGTCAACGTTGTCGAAGATCTGGGAATCGAGTTCCCGATGTCCCTCTTCATCGGCACGTTCAGGGTGCAGAGGAACTGATGTCTTGAGGTGGCGTGCAGACGAGTGTGAGCGACGTCCTGAATTCAATGTGGGGGCTTCTTGACCTGGCAATACTCCAGCTGGAACTTGAAGTTGACCTAAGTTTGGACATCCGAAAAAGGACTGCAGTTGGGGGGGTTTTGAAGAAGGGACTTCGTTTCGACTTCGCAGGGGCGGTGCTGCAGGGTTCAGTGTGGCCTAATTCCGACATTCAGACTCAAAACCCTCAATCCTAAAGCCTACACTCATCTACACACCACGCCGTAAACCTTACATCCCCAAGCCCTACACTCTACAGGCGTGAAACTCGAACTCCCCAAGCTCCTAAATCCTCAAACAAAGCCTGGAATCGCAGATGCTGGGTGCAGGAATTTTGGGTCCAAAGTTCTTTAAAAGGATGGAGCTCCAAGGCAATTCTGGTCCTCTGCACATGGTTTACCGGATAGTTTAGTGTTTAGGGTTGCCTTTGGGATATCTTATGCTAGCACCAAAACACTATTCCTTCGGTTCCTTCTTAACTGCCGCAGGCACTACAATTAGACAATATCCCTATTTTACATCATACATCTCTAGTTGATATAGCTGTTGTGGCATTCTCTACCCGTAAGGCTCATTGTACTGCTGTAGGTCTAAAAAAAGCAGCCTCCCCGTATTGTCGCATAAATCTCTGAACCCCAAACCCTCCACCCTCGGCGATGAATGCTGAACCCTAAGACCTTGATTTTCAAACGAAAATCCTGGGTGGGATCCTCCCACCTGAACCTTGAGTTCCAGAATCAAGCTTAAAGCAAGCAATCCAGCACCCTAATGCTCAAAAGGGCTTGGCGCGTTCCTGGTTTGCCTTGTTTAAGACTATTGGGTCTAGTGGTTTCGGTATTTTCAGTTCAAGCGGAGCAACCCCACTAGCATTCTCAAAGAAGTGCCTGCTACAACTGCAGCCATGAAGGTAATTAAGGTTTGTTTCAGTTTCACGGATAGCTACATAACATAGGCAGCAATATAATTAAGAAGTAGCACCAAAGGGGTATGCTTACCACCTTAGCCAGAATCCCGTGTCCCCGCGCCCTAGACCAGAAATATCCGTGTTTGACATCTCAGGCACCTTGTCGGAAAACGTGAGGTGTGCATTATCATGGTCGGACTCGTTCGTCCGACTTGTTTGAGAGGGTGGGGGTGGTGAGGTTCCTTTAAGGGTTGTTATTATAAGAGTTGCTTTACCCATAGGCTCCAAAGTAGTTCCTTTTTGGGAATACCTTATAGGATTCTAAGTATGAAACCCAAACAGGAACTACTATGTAGCCCATGGGTAAGGGCTTACTTGTGATCTCAGGTATGTCCGACTCGTTGCAGAGGGTTGCGGGATGTCGGGCCTTAGGTGTTTTTGATCCTTTGGAATTTCGGGGTTTGAGCTTCCTCTATAAGGGTTTCGACTATAGGACTTGCTTTAAGATTCTTAGGGTTTAGTTTAAGGGTTGGGACATGGGGGGGGGGTCTTCGCTGAAATAGATGTTATCGGCTGCGCTCTCAGCTTTTCAGAAGAGATGCCTTTGGTTCACGCGCGGTACTGTAGGTTCTCAAGGGTGTGGGCGGGTGTCCAGCTGCGAGGTTGAGGATGGGGGGCACCGTCCAACAAGCTCTCCGGATCACATGTGTTGCCTTACCTCATCACCAAGATAATTTTCATAGACCCAATACTTGGGTGGGTCTATAATTCGAAAGTTCACGCTGCGAAGAATATGCTACTGAGAAGAATCTGCTGTAGACTGAGACAGTGACAAGTACTACGACCACCCGCATGACTGCTGCGTGGGCTTCTATTTCTATTGTGCCGATGCCAACAGTGGCGGCGCCACCACCACCACCGTCGCCGCTGCGACCACCACCCATCGGCTACTCTTCATCCTCCTGCTCCTAGAGCTGCCGCGAGTCGTCCTTAGTTGCAGTGTCTGCTGCTGCTGCTGCAAGCAGCTGCTGCTGCCAGGACTCGGCTGGCAAGACTACGACTTTGCCATCGCCTCAGGTGAATTACGCTAGGGGCTTAAGTAATTAGCAATACTGTTTTGCGGGTTCCTGATTTTAATTAGCGTACTATGGCCCCCAAAACCCTCTTCGAATTATTCAGGCCCCTATATTATAGTACCCTTATAGATCCCTTATAGTAGCCCTCATAGACCCCTTTTAACGGGAACCCTATTCTAACGATTAAGGCCCCTATATTACCTCCTCCTGACCATGAAATCCGAGCCCGACATTGTCAGGATCTCAAAGCTATCTGGGAATCTATTAGAGTCTATCATTCCATCTGTCTATCTACCTATCCGTCTATCTTTCTATCTATCTTCTATCTATGTTTTCATCTATCTAACTACCTAGCTAGCTAGCAATCTTTGTGTTTCTCTCCCTCTGTGTCGCTCTCTTTCGGTGTGTCTTTGTTTCTATATATATATATATATATATTATGTATTTGTTTGTTCATTCTTGTGGATAGATAGGTAGAGGTAGAGGCAGAGGGGGGGCAGAGGTAGAGATAGTAGATCGATCGATGGATCGTAGTATCACTTCTTGAGCCACGGTTGCGGGTTCTTGTCTTTGGCCTTAGTTGCGATCTTGAGGCTTCCAACAACACCACTGAAACTCGTGTACCATGATCATAAAGCGTCCACGAAACATCCGACTGAGAATGCGCTACAGGAGTTGCAGCAGTGCCAGTGTTCATACTTCTCTGACTAAACTGCACCTACTGCTTCTGCTGCTGGCAATTTTATTACTACTATTATTACTACCACCACTACTACTACCACCACCACCACCATCACCACCACGACGACTACTACTACTGCTACTGCTACTGCTACTACTACTACTACTACTACTACTACTACTACTACTACTACTACTACTACTACTACTACTACACTGCTGCTTGCTGCTGCTGCTGCTGCTGCTGCTACTGCTACTGCTACTGCTACTGCTACTGCTACTGCTACTACTACTACTACTACTACTACTACTACTACTACTACTACTGCTGCTGCTGCTGCTGCTACTGCTACTGCTACTGCTACTGCTACTACTGCTACTGCTACTACTACTACTACTACTACTACTACTAACTACTACCACTACTACGACTACTACTACTACTACACTACTACTACTACTACTACTACTACTACTACTGCTACTACTACTGCTACTTGCTACTGCTGCTACTACTACTACTACTACTACTACTACTACTACTACTACTACTACTACTACTACTACTACTACTACTACTACTACTACTACTACTACTACTACTACTACTACTACTACTACTACTACTACTACTACTACGACACTCAGTTGGAAGCCCTCTCTCACCCCCGTCTCCCCGGCATCTTAATAGGGTTTACGATTCGGGGCTCAGGGAATTAGATGGTAAAGGGGTTTAGGGGTTCAGGGTTTTAAGGGGTGGTCTCTTGAAGGGTCCATGAGGTCGTAGGGTTCAGGGTCTGGAGCTTAGACTTGCCAAACCCGACTTCCTTCCCCCCCAATCACCCAAAACTAACCGATAAACCCAATGAATCATCATGAACCCGTAAGGCTAAACCCTAAAACCCATAAACCATCATAAACCCTAATCCTAAAACCAATAAACCAAACCCTAAACCCTAAAACCCAGAAGCCCTGAACCAAACATTGGCTCAGGTACCGGCTCAAGCTGGGCGTCCAGGTTCGAACGCTGCCCACCGTTGGCTTCAACGTGGAGAAGCTGGCGACTGGGGCTTGTCTTACCTTTGGTTAGTAGGGAATGGAGGAATGGGTACAATTATAAAATTATAACTACTAGTACTACCATTCCTCCATCTCCTACTAATCAAAGATGGCTTGTGAGGTTCTGGATCGCTAGGGTTTGCGGCTTGCATCGAGGCGTAGGGGTTATAGTATAGGGGTTTAGGGTACAGGGGTCTAGGGTTAAGGGTTGGGAGGCTTCGGGGTTATAGTAGAGGGGTTTAGGGTACAGGGGTCTAGGGGTTTAGGGTTTTGAGGTTTAGGGGTTTCTTTAGTTGTTTATCAAGGCAAGGGGAGTATTGCGTGCCAGGTCCTCAGTTCCATTAATCGCATTCCCTAAGGGTCCATGTACTCATATAGTATATGTATATATATATATATATATATATACAGGCCTTAATGTAGTCCCTACATAGGTACTTTGGGGCTCATATATCTCTATATGGGAATATGGACCCTTAGGGATTAGAAGACCTTAATCATGTAGCTTTTGGCAGCCTCTTTGCTCTTGGGGGATCAACAGAAAGAGACTGACGCAGAGAACATCACAGAACCCATACATATAGGAACCCGAGTACAATTGCGGAGGAACCGACCCCTTTCAGGGGACCCCATTTAGAAACACTGAAAGGAAGCCTTACCCTAAGCCTTATAACTCCAAACCCCTAAGCCTTAAACCCAAAGCCCCTGAACCCTAAGGGCCACACAGTTCTCAGGAGTACATGAACAGTAACATCCCTTTCCACAATCATAGCAACACCAATAATAATTATAATAGTGAAATAAATCATAAAAATACAGCTCTCAGATCCCTAAGCCCCGAAACTCTAAGCCCTTAAAGATCCCTTTACAAGGGGCCCTACTACCCGTATGTACCCTCAGGAGTACAAGAACATCGTCTTCACCGTTTGGGACCTCGGCGGCCAGACAAGAACCCGTCAGATCTGGCAGCACTACTACCAGAGACTTGGCTTAGAGGTTTAGGGTTACGGGTTTCGGGTTTAGGCTTGATGAGTAGGGTTTAGTGCTTCTGTTTCGGGTTTAGGGTTTAGGGTTTTTCTATTTTGGAGGTTCCATATTGTAATTGTCGTATGTATTTTGGGGGTTCCTTATTACAGCTATAGTACATAGTCTACTACCAGAGACTTGGCCACCAATACTGCACTTCGGAGGTTTCGTATGATAATTACAGTAGTATGTATTTTGGAGGTTCCTTACAGTATTATGATTTTAAATGATAGTATGTCTTTTGGGGGGTCCTTATTATTCTTATAGTATATATTCTACTGCCAGAGACTTGGCCGGGGTTTAGGGTTTAGGGGTTGGGGTTCAGGGTTTAGAGCTTAGGGGTTTTGGGGGCCGGGGGGTTTTTGGATGAAGAGCCCAGGGTTTAGGGAGCCCTGGGTTTAGGGAGCCCTGGGTTTAGGGAGCCCAGGGTTTAGGGAGCCCAGGGTTGAAACGGAGGGCTTTAAGGGTTTTGTACGGACTGAGATGGTGGGCTTAACTTTCTTGATGGATCCTGTGACAGACTTGGGAAACTCTTCGTACGCTCAAGTCTCAAGTCTGCTGAGGAGGCTACTACTACTACTACTACTACTGCTACTACTGCTACTACTACTACTACTACTACTACTACTACTACTACTACTACTACTACTACTACTACTACTACTACTACTACTACTACTACTACTACTACTACTACTACTACTACTACTACTACTACTACTACTACTACTACTACTACTACTACTACTACTACTACTACTACTACTACTACTACTACTACGACTACGACTACTACTACTACTACTACTACTACTACTACTACTACTACTACTACTACTACTACTACTGCTACTGCTACTACTCCTGCTACTGCTACTGCTACTACTACTACTACTACTACTACTACTACGACTACTACGACGACTACTACTACTACTACTACTACTCCTACTGCTACCGTTTTGCAACCCCATATCCCATCTAGCTAACATCACTATTTCGAAGCACTGTCCGAATAAGAGTTCCTGGTCGTTTCATAGGGACCCTTAGGGCAGTAGGGGGAGGGGAATAGGGGAGTATACTTCCTTAACAAGGCCTTATTAAGTTCTTATTAGAGGTATTAAGGCCCCCTACCCCCCTACCCCCCCTAAGGGCCCTTATGATGATTGGGATCTTCAGGGGTATTGCTTTCTGGGGTGGGTGGCGGCTCAAGTCTAGGGTTTAGGGTTGCAAAGCGTAAAGCACGTGCCATTCGGGACTTGGACGAATTCCGACGTCTAACCTAAACACTAAACCTCCAGGTCCCTCAAACTTGAAACCCTGCAAGACCCGAAGAAATCCAGAGATGCTTCACCACCCTCCACCCAGGAGCACAGATGGTTTGATCTTTGCCGGGGCCTCTGGCAGGGACGAGTGGACAGAGCTTCCTTTGGACTTTAGCCGGGGTTTTGGGCCATGACAGATTGAGCTGGATACCTGAAGCCTAAAATACCCGAACATCCAGAGTCCAGAGACCTGCAAATCCCGAAGGCTGTCCTCAAGAGCTTCAGAGTTCTTTGGGACCGGGAGGGTTGTATGCCAGAGACGTGCCAAAATCGCAACAACTAGGGGGTGAGGCAGTGGGGCCTTCGGTTTCGTTGCTTGGTATCGTTCCGAGGTGTTTCTTGCATCACTGCAAAGACAGAACTAGTCCAAGACCATCTCCAATAGCGCCTTACAAAGCCCAGTAAACTAAACAACGAGCTTGTACAAAAAACATATGGCTCCTTCCTTAGTACTGTACGGCAAATAGAGAAGTAGAGCGCCACGAGGTCATCGACAGCAGTGACAGAGAACGTATTGAGGAAGCTCACGAGGAGCTGTGGGAAGTATGGCCGTTGAAGTTCAGGTTTTAGTGCTTCAGGAGGCGTTTATTCAGGGTTAGATTAGGATTCACCACTGCAGTCTTTGTTGCAGTTCCTGTTTGGTGTTACCCTATAGGACCCTGCATATATAGTTGATTAAGCTGAAACTGAAAACATGAACTACAATGGGGACTCTAGGCAGGATGCATGGCTCGAAGGAATCAGTCCAGTTTGGGATGGCAGATTTAGGTGTAGTTCTACATCCGTTCCTCCGCCGCTCGGCGGAACCAGCCCATTTCCATGTAGCTATTAGCCCACCCTTATAGAATCCTAACAGCCCCGGAACCCAGAACCCTTCAAACCCAGCTACTGGACACCGCCGAGGAAACCACCTTCGAAGGGGCGCAACAGCCTCTGATCCCCACCTGACTCTTCGATGGATTTTTAGTGCATATCACTGTATACGTGTATAAGAATAAAAAGGAGGGCCCTAGTATTATTATTAATAATTACCCAGACTTCTATACTACCTTGGATCCTAAATCCCAAGCTCAAGACCCAAGACTCGGCATCCGACACCCAAGAGGAGCTGATGCGAATGCTCCAGCGAGAGGAGATGAAGGCCATCGAATATCGGGGCCTTACAACACGGTTTAGGGTTTGGGGATACCTGTGTTTGGAGTACCATACTTGAATACTTTTTTGGGTACTGGTTCCTTAAAGGAACCATCATGAAATAAAATTCTGCAGTTTTTTTCTCCCTGGTTACTTCAAAGTCCAGGAGAGCATAGCTTGTTGGTGGCATGCTATGGAATTTGGCCCTGTCAGCAGAGCAGCAAGTAGCATTGACTTTAGTTGTCGAAGTACGAGCTTAAGTCATCAAACTGAATGTCACGTGATTTGGGGGTCTAAGTGTTATAACCATAAAACCCTATATCCTAAACCCTAAACCCTAAGCATATCACTGCTGAAGGAAGCACTTTCGCAGTGTCCTTTAGTGCTCAGCTTGGTCTTCAGACTACACAGAGTTGCGGAATGTGCTTTCAGAACCTGGGTTTAGGGTTTTCCAGTTTAGGGTTCTGCTGCAATTCACGATGGCATGCCTTCTTGTTGTAACTATCAACTAGTGTACCAGACCATCGAACTCGTTGCAGTCTTGATACATACAAGTTGTTGGGCTGTCGCCGGGGTGAAAATGGTAAACTGAAGGAGCTCGTGCATGAACGATCGCACAAACCTTAACCTGCTGCATGCTGAGGCCTTCATAAAGCTTTGATCACGTGATGCCCGGAAGTTTGCCCCGAAACCAATCACCTCAAGCCACCAATAACGCTGGCAGGATGCCGTTTTGCTGGTCATGGCGAACAAGCAAGACCTTCCCAACGCCATGAGCACGCAGGAAAGCTCCGGGCTTTGTGGGATTCGTCTCCCTTCGGGGCTTCTCTCCGTCGGCTTCAACCTCTCACTTAGGGTCCATGTTAGAATTCCTTGTTTTGGAAGATCCCGTAGGAGGTCGTGCGTCAATCCTACATGCTTATCTTTCCGGTTCTTGTTGCAATGACCTTTATCTGGGCTCGGCGTGGCTTTAGTTTCTCTCTTCAGAGTACCCCAAGCCCCATGATCTGCGGGTTGAGCTTCGGACTAGTTTCGCGTTTGGGAGTTGAGGAACTAAATGGGATGCAGCCTGGGGACAAATAGCGAAGCTACAAAAAGCAACCCGAAGGAAGTGTATCATCCTAAACCCTAAAGCCTTGCTGAATATTCAAGCTTCCACGAATGAGGTTGGAGGATGGTTTCGACAGGCGGTTTTCTGGCCGCCGTGCCTCGGTGTGCGAGGGGCGTGCAAAGCTCCACATCCCCCAGAGCGTGACCAGCCTAAACTGAAGACGGTGTCGAGGTCCTGAACGATAATATCTGGGTCCGAACAACTAGTCAACTAGTAATCATTAGTAATCAGAATTCCCTGAACCCCAGATCCCCGACCCAAGCCCACGATGCCACAAGATCGAAGTCCTCAAGCCCCAAACATGCGAACCCCCCCCCCCCCAAAAAAAAAAATGACCCAAAATTCCAGACCCTCTGTAAACCTTAAGCCGTTAGAAGATAATGCCACACCTTATATCCCAAAGCCCTGAAAGGGCCCAAGTTGAGAGTTTGAAGGCTCTTACCCAGCCACAGACAGGAACTCATCGAATGGCTAACTCATCACTCATTCTTCGCTTTGGGCACCAGCAAATCATCATTCACGGCCGCCCGCTCGATGATTTGATGTTGATTTTGTGGTGATCTTTCGACGATTCTTTGACAATTTCCGAGCCATCCCAAAAATCTGTTCTCGAATATTACCGAAACTTCCCGCTGAGCCTGCCGCTGGCCAGTTCGACGATTGTTTGATGATATGGCAATAATATTTTCATGATTCCTGAGACATCCCAACAACCGGAACCTCTCGGCGAGCCTGCCCAGGGCCAGTGCTATAGTTGTTGGTGGTGTTGCTATGATTTTGTGATGTTTCTGGATAATTCCTTGACTTCCGAAGAGAACCTCTGCCCAGGGCCAGTTCGTTTTGATGATTTTCGATGTTTTCGTTGATAATTTCCCGGGACATCACAAGAGCACGGTTCTCGGGCTTTCTTGGGAGCTCTCGGCGAGCCCGCCCTGAGCAAGTGTGATGATTTTTGATGATTCCCCCTGAAGGTCTTGGCAGCATATTTACTGGTATGGACGGTGATGAAATGACGATTCGACGATAGCAAAGATGATGTTCCCCTGACAAATTGATTCGGGCACGCTATGCCGTGCAGACCACACAAGAATCTCATGGCCTAAACACCCCTGAAATTCCCCTATACTAGTATATACAGCTCTTACGAAACCCATCACTTTTAAAAAAACCTGCAGTTAAAAATCAAAAGCCGAACCCTAAACTGGCCTAAACCCTAAACCTAAATAGAATCAGGGCCCAAAACAGCCCAACGCGTGCGTCAGGAGTTGGTACAGAGGCTCGGCCTGCACGAGCTCGGCAAGTACCGAAGGAAGTGGCTAGTCCAGGAGCCTTGTGATTTTAGGGCTTTAGGCTTAAGGGTTTCTGTGAGGGCTTATCAGGGTGCTCAGAAGGGTTGATCGGGATGTTCTGGCCTTTGGTGAGGGTTTTTGGATTTCGAGCTTTCGGCATTGTGGTTTGCCGCTGCTTCTGCTTTGTTGCGAACGTTCCCGCCCTCATGTAAGCGGGACAGACTGCAACCGCTAGTGCCCACCACATTACCCACATTGCTTGAGTTGCTGTCGTCATGGTTCACCACTGATGAAAACAGCAGACCTCAAAATGAATGGCCACACAGATGCTGCATGTAAACACTTCTTGGTTATCACAGTTGTGAGTCTTGTATTTGTTGTTGTTGTAACGCGTATTTCTGATGCCGGAATTTCTCCAGAAATAGAGCAGTGCAAAACTTCACCCCGCAGTCGTGTCTTTCCCATCTCTCACATGAGCTCCCTGTGGAGGAGACCTGTGCCACTGTGGGCGAGGGACTGCACGAGGCTCTGCTGTAGGGGTCAGTAACCCCCAAACTTGGCCCTAAACCCTACACGGACGGCTTCCATCTTCAGGTATGCAGAATGAGAGTGGGGGTCAGGGTCCAGTGGGAATTTGGGCTGGAGCTTTGGGGTCGCCTAGATCAGCGTTCAGACCATGTTGACCAGTGAGTTTTGTGGCTTGAGGCTTTGACTTTGGTTTCAGGTTTTAGGGCCGTTGGTGTGGGGCGATCGTGTCTAGGGGCTTTCGCAAGCTTTCCGGTCAATTTCGAGTTTGTGGCCAATACAAAGACGTCTCCCCTGGGCCTGAGGGGATGTGGGAGTTTCCGAAAATATGGGACACCCTAATATAGTACCCTAAATAGTAGGATCCTTATTATAAGGACCCCAAAATATGGTACCCCTTATTTTCGGAAACAACCGACGAACCCCGACCCGAGTCGCCTCAAAAACGCCCGGGAAACCTGACCGAGGGCTCTATAATATCTAGGGGCCTTAGTAATTACAATAGAAGGGGGGGATTGTACTATGATTATAATCAGGAACCCCCCGGAACCCTACTCTAATTATGAAGGCCGCTACATTACAGAACTCCATTACAGATCCCCTGTAGATCCCTTTAAGGAACCCTTTAAAGCAACCCAATTCGAATCATTATGGCCCCTACCTACGTTGCTTCCCTGACGAGTCAGGGGCTGGACTGGCTTGCCCAGGCCATCGCTGAGAGAGGCAGCGTGGCGGCTAGGGCGTGACTTCTTACCAGGCATAGCTGCTAGCTGTAAAGACATGCCCAAGGGTGAAGGCTTGCAGACTGTAGGATCTATCATGAGTATCAGTGGTCCGTGTAAAGACAGAAAAGAGATCGAATAAGTATGAACATGTACGAGAACATGCAGTTCTGAACCCGCATGTTGCTTGAGTACTATAGCTTTTTGCCGCATTGTGCTGCAGAGGGGATTGTTGGAGAGCCTCATTGTGGATAGCGACGATCTCTAACTGCCTACCCAATGCAACCACTGGATGCATCACATTCCTACACCCTGCACCTCGAAACCCTGAACCCCTTGCACGTACTCACTGTGCTTAGGCTGTAGTGGCCTTCAACCCTAAACCCTAAATCCCTAAGTCTGTCGGGTTTCAAGGGTGCTTAGCAAGACGCCCGAGTCCACGCGATAATGAGTCGCACTCCGCCGGAGACGGCGAGCTCAAAAGTGAGCTCGCCAGCTTTCGATTCCCAGTTTCTGGGAGTCCTGTACCGCCGCCAGCAGCAAGAGAAGCACCCGAAGCCTAGTACCATTATAGGGGTCGGCAGAATTATCAGTCTATTATTCCTTACATAGGGATCCTTGTGAGAATGCTCCTATTCGAATCTTCTTAAGGGTACTTAGAAACTTTTTTTGATTTTTGCTAGGGTTCTAAGTTCAGTATAGTCTTGAAGGCTCCGATCCAGACAAGAGGGTGCCCGAAGATCTGCCCTTAACCCTTAATCCCTCGCTTAAGCCCACAATGTCTGAGCCGTAATAAGCCTTACCTAACCTCCAACGCTACAGAATAGGAGGTTATGACCTTTCGTGATAGTGTATAATGCCCGCTAGCCTTAAACCCTAAACCCTCAACTTTGGGGTTTCGGACGCAAGTGCAGACGGAAAAGGGCCCATATTAAACCAAAACCCTAAACTGCAGGAATTTGGTATCGCCCTACCTATTTCGGAGCGGCTTCGAGCCTAACTATCTATCTGACAGCTGTAGATGCCCTAAGCGGTTTAGGGTTTAGGGGTTAACCACCTCGTGGAAGCCCAATTATTCAAACCCCCACCCCGCTACCTGTGCTCGGGGTTTTGCTGAGAATATATCCACAAATACCACGGGGTACGTCGGTATACAGGTGTTCTTAGAGGATTTGGGTGTTTCAAGTTTGGGGGTTTTAAGATTCAAAGGGTCTAATTCCTCACCTGATTACGAACCAAGCCCCGCCCAAAAGAAGCCTTCACGCCCTACATTTCTGGTTCCGTGCTGTAGGGTTGAGAGTACCCAGAGGCCCCATAGCAGTTCCTTTTGGGGGCTCATTTGTAGAATTCTTTCAGGTAATCCCCAAAACGAACTACGATGGGCCTTACGGGTAAGCCTCGATGCCCTCGAGTAGTCAGAGCTTCGCTGGCTGAACTCGCTTTCGATCCTGTCTCACCGCGTGGGAGATGTTGGCTAGAGCCTCGCAGTGCCCGAAGACAGGAGCCAACATAATTTGCAGACATGGGTGCTTGTCAAAATTGTGGCCCCTTGTTGGGTCCCTATTATTACACGGCACCTATTATTCAGGGTACCCAAAAAGGGACCTTAATTTTGACAACCACCCACATGATTCCTTGGGTTCGTTATGACAAGTATACTCCGAGATCTTAACCAAAATCCAGATCTTCATTCTTTCGGCTCCGCTAGTGCACCCAGAAGCCTCGCACTTTGTCCACACGTCCACGAACATATGGTCCCATGGTGCGAGGGATCTGAAGAGCATTAGTAGATCTGATAGATCGATTTGAAAACATGTTGATGGTCGACGTACATAGCAAGCTATAAGCTCTAGTCTCACTTATGAGTCCTGCTTTGAAGCTGTTCCCGGGGATTCTTTCGCTGTGAATCGTCCCCAAGCTGCTGCGATAGTTCTGGAGCGCTTCCGGGTGTGTGTGATTGTGTGTGTTTAATGTCAGGGTTCTGGGCTTAAGGTTTTCAAACGGGGGTTGAGGGTTTTGGTTTCAGCCTTTAGGTCTTGTTTCTTGTTTACACTTCTTTGTGTGTTGAGTCCTATATCCAATTATGTAAGCATCGTCAGAAGAAGCCCACTCCTGTTGCTTTAAGGCAGAACTCGCTTAGCTTTCCGGCTACCCTGAGCGCCTTTAACTCGCCACAGAAGGCTCGAGTCACCGAAGCCCTACACTGCCTTCGCCTGCAGTTTCCAACAGCTTCCCACAGCTTCCGCTCATGCCCAATGCACAAGCTTCATACCAGCTGCATCACGCAAGAAAGGGACCAGTGAAGAGCTGTCTTCCCTAGTGCGTCAGGTCTCAAACTTCAGTCGGGATCGGGGAGGGGGGGGGGTTAGGGTTCTGCTTGGATGTAGCTCCTGTGCCTAAGCTCATGAATATAGAGGCCTTAATAATTACCTACACTATTTTGGGTGCTTTTTGATTCTGTTTATAGTATAGTAGACCCCAAAACCCCATTCAAATTATTCAGGCCCCTATAGTACTTACTTCTCTATGATCATGACAGCCCCGAGCCGCCAGAGCAACCGCAAATGATGTTGTTCATAGCCCCGACCTCGTCTTTTTCCCAGGCTCTGTATATGATTTGGCATGTCATATAAGGATTTCGGCCCTGTTGAGTGTACGAGGAAATACTGGTGGTGCGTGTATCTTTGAGGGGTTCGCTTTTGCGAAGACAGCAATTACAAGACGGACACCCCTGGCTGCAAGGTTGCCAAACCCAGAGCCATCCAAGTCATGTCTGTACCCAGCGCATCAGATCTCAGATGCCTAGCAAAGAGATGTCGCCAGTCGTAGGTTCTGAACACTCCGGTGTGAGGAAGCCCGTTTTGGGAAGGGAAGCACACGTCCTGCTACTGCCGGCCGTCAGGCCTAAACAGTACATTAGTCAATCCTATACAGGGTGTTTGTGGCCGCAGGTGTAGGGTTGACCTGGTTCTTTTCAAAATGGGGCTCTAATCGCAATTCCCAAGTACCATGTGTAGTCTCAGGGGATCAGGTTCAGAGATTCCGGTTTCGGCTTCGGTGCTTCAGTTGATGTCGTGCATCGGAGTTTCTCGGCAGTGGGGCGCCTGAGGCTCTGCGTCAGTGCTTTTCAACAGCTGAAAGCGCATGCATTCCGAGATACCGATGTTGAGTCTTCCGGGCACGCGTTGTGAGGTGTGGTGGCGATATCGAGTCAGACGCCCAGCATGGTGAGCAAATGCTCGTGATGTTGTGCGATTGATATTAGCAGTATACTTCCTCTCCTTTCCTGTAGTTGTAATTAAGCCGGTTGATCTCAGACATGAAGCAACCAGAAGATGCTGCTGATTCCACGGACCAACATTGAGTTCATCGCGCGTACACGTCTAGCACGACGTGTCAACGGCCTTACCTTAAGCCCTAACGCCGCAAAGCCTCAAATCCGATTTGCAGCTCTTGTCGTGCATTGGCGGCTTCCGGCTCTATCCTTGTCCTTGCCAGATTCAAGAACATTGCGCAAAACATCCTAAATCCTAACCTAAACTACACAAAAGCCTCACATCTCAACATCTGTTAACCCTTGGAGCGATCAATCGCCTAAACAGCAACCCGGCGGCATAAAAGCCATGTGGGGTTTAGGCTCTAAGCCTTCAGCTTTGTAGGGGGCCCTACATCGGGCCTGGGCGGTTCCTTCTGTGACGGTCGCAATATTACTTACTTCGGATCCACCTCAAAGAATGCTCAAAACACTGCAAGCCGTGAACTTTCCTAAACCCTACAGACCCCCAAAACAACCAACAGCCCTAAGCCCTCACCTTTGAGTACCTAAACCCTGAGCCTCCCTAGGCCCTAACCTTTAAGTACCTATGCTTCCCTAAGCCCTAACCGCAAAGTACCTAAACCCTAAGCTTCCCTAAGCCCTAACCTCAAAGTACCTAAACCTCAAAGTACCTAAACCCTAGCCTTTAAGTACCTAAACCCTAACCTCAAAGTACCTAAACCCTAAGCTTCCCTAAGCCCTAACCTCAAAGTACCTATGCTTCCCTAAGCCCGAACCTCAAAGTCGACCCTGAGGTTTGTACCATGCTCCCGGGTGTACCACATCTTCCGCACCTCCACCTACTGGCAAGGCAGCCGGGTCCCAGACCCCGAATCCCATCAACCGGGTGCTTGTCAAAAATTATCGTCCCTAATTGGGTACCCTAAATAATAGGTGCCGCGCTATGATAGGGACCTTCAAAGGAACCATAGTTTTGTCAACCACTCAACTCTAGAACTGAACATACATGTCTATCTATCTTCGTACCCAAAGGCCCCATGGTAGTTCCTTTTCGGGGGTTCATATTTCAAATTCATTCGATAAGGTAAGCCCAGCAAGACACTACTATGGGTCCTATGGGTGCAGATCCATCTACCAATTTATCTATCTTCCTTGCTGTGTAATCTATTTGTCTACCTTCATGTGACATCACCATTTCCATGCTGAGCACGTCATCATCAGCAACGACAACAGCAGAATCATCATCACCATCATCATCATCAGCAGCAGCATCTTCATCATCAACAACAGAATCAGCACCATCTTCATTATCTTCACCATCACCATCGCTACTCTCATCGCCATCATCCTCATCGTTTTCATTGTGACGGTCACTGAAGTAGGGCAGTAGAAAAACTGGTATCACCACGGCTGTCGCGTACATGCCACCCGAAAACCGATGGGCTCAATTCAGAGGACAAACTCTGCGAACTCTTCGCTTCCTCACAGTGACAGGGCAGCCTGGGGTGTTGCTTTATTTGTCCGCCAGCAAGTATGCACTCTCCTCAGTTCCGACCCCGGCTTGCAGGCAAAGACTCAGCTGGTGTAGCTTACCAGGAAGCTTGGCTGGAGACTAACCCTAAATCCTAAACTAGAGTGACAAAGGTGGGCTGGTCCTTGAGGCTCCGAAAGCACTTGCTACTACCTCTTCAGATGTCGCGGAATCACAAGTTACAACTACTGAGGATTTAGGTGTCATGGTCTCAGT